TCAACTCCTCCTTTCTTTTCCAAGCAAATAAATGTGAAGGATGTTTTTGTGAGTTTTGTGGCTCAGAAAAAGGCAGTTACCCACACTGTTGCCACATATCTTTCAATAGGGGTTTGAATAATGAGCAGCAGCAATACAGATGAGTTATTACTTAGTGAGTGTATCACCCAGAGACCAACAAGAAGCCACATTTATTCTAGGTGGCGCAAATGAAAAGACTTGAATAAAAACATTGCTTGAGAGGTCCCCATGAAAGCACCCCAAAGAGTGTTGCTGTACCTTCAAACAGCCCCAGCAGGACACTACTGCCCCCTAGGGCTGAGGGACAAGAAGAAGAAATACCATCCCAAAGCCCAAAGGAAGCTGGAGCCAGAGCCCAGGAGCCATTCAGATGGAGTTTGTTGCTATTTCTATTATTCTGGGCCATTTTACTCATCTTAATCTACTTGGCAATATTATAAGAAGAATCTGTTTCTGCATGGATTTTCAGTCATGCTGCCTATATGATGAAAGTTCTAGAAAGTTCTAACCCAATATAGAATATTCAGTTTATGTTTCAGCATAAGGAGCCAGCAAAACATATCATAACATTACTGTTTGACCAGAGTTTACAGGTAGAAAGCTCTTCCACAATCATTATTATACAAATACTTTTGCAGAATGTTCTAGAAATTGATATCTATGTTTTAAGAAAAGGAAACAACCTAGAAGACATGCAACCTAGATTTTCTGACCCCAAAATGTTTCATAATCTAACCTCTTACCCTTTTATTATTTATGGCTTTTAATGTGGCATTGAGTTTTATGTCAAGATATATTTTAGAATCTACAAAGAGTTAAAGTGGACGTTAGGTCTAATCAAATGTTCTTCATGAACTTATATCACAAGTAGTTTCCATGGCTTGTTTTATCTTTTCTGATGAAGAATTGTTTGACATCTTGGACAGAGATTGTCTTTCTTCACTTTATCAAGAGAGATACAGTTGAAAGACAAGTCCCTGCCGCAGAGTTATGCTGAGCTCAACTCCTAAGGACTGCCTTTGAAGCTCTGGGGACCAACACTCACAGAGGTCTGTCCCTTCTGTCATATCATAAGACTACAAAAATACAGATAAAGAAATATAAAAATAAGATATTTTCCAAGTTTAGAAAATGATATGTTGTATTTCATGTGTGCTAATTCATGCATAACAAAATTGGGAAATTACACTGAAAACTACGGGCTGGGAATAAGGATCTTTGCAAATGATAACTCTGGGTGACTTATTGGATCTCGTCCTCACTGCCAGAAAGAAGAACAAAAAGGGAGGGCAAAAATTTGACTTGGAACATTTTCTTTAAAAACAATCTTTTAGAGGTGGGGATATAGTTCAGGGTAGAGTGCTTTCCCAGCATGCATGAAGCCTTGGGTTTTATCCCCAGCACTATACAAAATAGAAATAAAAATAGTCTTTTAAATTAGGCATTGTGGCATATACTTATAATCCCATCACTGGGGAAGCTGAGGCAGGAGGATCACCATGAGTTTGAGGTTCAATTGCAGTTTGGGCTACATAGCAAGACCTTGTCTTTAAAAAATCAAAATAAAACAATAATCTTTTAAATATAGGCCTCTAGACAGGTGGAGGCAGGGCACGTACCTGCCTGAGATCGGATGTGGCAAAATCATTCAGACAACTGCCGGGGGAGGAAGTGGGGCACGGTGGTTTTGAGCAGAGCTTTGGAGTCACACAGACCTGCTCAAGAATCCTAGTCCCACTACTCACTATATAGCTTAGGCTTGTCACATTAACATGCTGAGGCTCAGTTTGCTCATGCAAGAAGACATGCATTGCAATGTGAGCCACCTACATGCCACGTGTTGTGATAATGACATACATGTGCTTAATAGTGCCCAGCACACCTGAAGCATTCAATACGGTTTAACCATTGGGATGCTTTCTGTTTTCTTATCACTTGGCTTAATTTCATCATATTCTGCTGCCCTGTTTATACATAATATGTATAAAGACAGATGGTGTTGCATGGTGGCATGTTTGTGGCCCCTCCCCTAAACCCTTCCTCTGAAGCCTGATCTCCAATTGTGATGGTATTAAGAGGTAGAGCCTTTGGAAGATAATGAGGTCAGAAGGGTTGAGCCTTCATGAATGGGATTAGTGGTCTTATGAGAACTGATCTCTCCCCTCTCCAGGTGCGTACACAGCAAGAAGACAGCCGTGAAAAGATCAGGAAGAGGTTCCTCAGCAGAGCCTGACTGTGCTGGCACCTGATCCCACACTGCCCAACCTCCAGAATTCTGTTTAAGCCACAACATGTTCTGTCTCAGTGGTCCACACTAAATAAACAGCGACAAGTTACTTGACCCCTCAAATCTACTCTTTCATACGAACTTGAGCGTATTTAATTTTGCTACTTGGAAGAGTGGGACAAGACATACAATAGTCTACAAAAAAAAAAAAAAGGACCATAATTATTGAAGTGGAAGAAACATATGTCTTCATGTAGAAGGAAAAAGAAACATAGAATCCTGTGGAGAATGCATTCCTTCACAAAGACCAATTTTCATTCCTTGTCCCTGGGCATGGGTCTGCTTCCCTCTTATAATGGCTTTGTGTCCAGTTGAATTTGACACAACTTCATTTAGCTATAGTTTCTTCCTGTACTAGGCCCTGGGGACACTGAGGTGACTGAGAGGAGGCACTGCCTTCAGCGACAGAGTCTAGCAGGAAAGACAGATCCTGGTTGACTCAGTTTCCACCAAGTCCCTACCAAGGGAGGCCTCGAACATGAATTCCTGTACTTGGGTATGAAGTGTCCTTCTATGAGGGAGCTTTGTGGTCAGCTCCTGCCAACAGGCAAAGGTCTTACTCTGTGCCCTTACTCAAGCCATTTGCCCCCTTCTGGCCTGCCTTCCTCTGTTTCCACGACGAATCTTTCTCCTCTTCTCTCACTTTCAGATATCCCAGCTCCTACCTCCCTTCACCAAAAAGAAAGAAAAAATTAGGGGACAACCAATTTAGTGAATGGCAATTCTAATATGTTTTTTAAAATTGCAAAAGCTTAGTCTTAAAGCAGCGTTTGTTATTAAAGGCCTTTTGTAAGCCAGGATGGTAGTTCATACCTGTAATCCCCATGCACAAGAGGCTGAGGTAGGAGGCTGAGGTAGGAGGATTTCTACAAATTTGAGGCCAACCTGGGCTACAGTGTGAGAGCTTGTCGCAAACAAACAACAAAAAGAAAGTTTCAATTTCCAACACTGAACGCTGTAAAACACACACACACACACACACACACACACACACACACACACACACTCTCTCTCTCTCTCTCTCTCTCTCTCTCTCTCTCTCTCTCTTTTGTGTGTTGGAGAATGAGGCTCAGTGAAGCTATGAGTCCCTGTCTCCCGCCTAATCCATTCTTCAAAACTCCAACTTTCAGGAGGTCCAGGGCCATGCATTGAAAATAGGAGCTCAGGTTAAAGGTCGTTAAGTGACACAGAAGCAAGGACAAACCACAGAACTAGAGGACTGAGGTGTTGGCTGAAGTCAGACCCCAAAACAGAGGCAATTCTCCTACCAAAGAACAAGATCCAAGTCTTGGGCCTTTGACTAGGCACAGGAGAGAGGAGACAGGGGAGAAAGAAGCATGGCAAGGAGGCACACAAATTTGATATTTTCACAAGATCATAGCAGTGAAGAATTGGCCAGAGAAACAATGTGAAAATTTAGTTTGGTTATTTCAGCATGATCCTCAGCTTCGCCATCCCAGCAAGCCCTCCTCACCTTTCATGTGTGACAGTTGTGTTACCTCTCCGCAGGGTTGGCTTTCAGAAATGTGGTTCAAGTGGCTCTTAGTTTTGTTAGATTGGGGATGAAAATGATACATCTGGGTATAGAAAATGATATGCACCTTCAAAATGTTGTCCTTGAGTCACACAGTCCTCTGTTCCCATTTTAATTGTGAGACACCATTGTTTTTAAGCAATTAGACAGAGTAAGGTTGGTGGGGTATGTATGTATGCATGCCCCTATTTATTTAGTATTTTCCCCAGCTTTTTGTTATCTAAGTAACTGCTATGTAGTTTTCCCATTCCCTGAGCTTGGGATTT